TCTCAAGACCTCTCCTCTCAGCAGCCACCAGCCTGGCTTTGCAGACCCCTGGAAAGTATCCCAGCTCATGAGCTCTCGGAATAACTGGGAGCCTTTTGATGTTTGGCCTCTTTATCTCATCTTTTCAAATGAGCTCCTTCTGGAGCAGTCCACGGATGACAGATGAAACTGTCAGGCCTAAGCTGCTGGTGGCTGGAGCCCCTATACAAATGTCAGGGCAAGATCTGGTAGGATGCTTGGGTTGGAGAGGGAGTGGGCCAGGATGATGCCATCCCATCCACAGAGGAGTTGCCTCCAGTCTGCCCACATCTGTGATTTTGAAGCATTATTAGCCCCTGGGAAAGAAAGGGCAAAGGGAGTTTGGCTGTGGGGGCACCTGATCCTGCTGCTTCTGCAAATTGTGGCTGCCCCGTGAGGGAATGATGTCACCTACATGCAGAAGACAGATGAGGGGACTTGGGTCAGCACCATTGTTCCAGAACAATGGGAGAGAAGAGAAGAGGGGATATGAGAGCTATTTAAGCACTGTTGCCATTCAGCACTTGCTGGGTGGGAGAGGAAGGCAGTGGGGCAGGGCTTGGAAGGGGTAGCAGGAGGGCACAGAGCAGACAGGAACTCTGCAGATGGTGTGTAGAGAGAGGTCAGGACCAGCTACAACCAAACTTAGTGGGTCTAGGGCACTCTTATGTTCCACCACTGGGGGATGAACTCAGCTTTTGGCTGGGATCCTCCGATTACTTCGCATAACCAGCTGTGTGTGCAAGATTCAGCACCTGCACCCACCAGCCAAGCCCTTTCCCAAGGAAGTCATTTCCCTGGAATCAATCATAATTCAAATTTGAAATTTAACAAAATAGTAAAGGGAAACTAGGTCTTCTCTTTCCTCCTATCCCCCTTCTCTTCTTTCTCCTCCTCCCTCTCCACTGCCCACCAATCTGGTATGAAGAGGAGGAATCATCTTGGAAAGAGTTCTGGTTTGGAGTCCCAACCAAGCTAGTTGGAATCTCAGCTTTTTTTGGTTTGCAGTAGAGCCTTGGGCAAGTTACCTAACCTATCTGAGCTGCTTCTCACCTGTTAAAGGAAAGTAGTCCCTGTCCCTCAGGGTCATCCTAATTTCTCAGGGTGATCATGCTGAGAAATGCCCGGCATATCCCTGACACACAGCAGCCACTCACCAGTACCAGCTACCCTGTGTTCGCCTTTCCACAACGACTTCACAGGAGTCCCCATTCTGTGCTTTCTCTCTCTGAGTGGGTGCTTTATTGGACACACAGCAGCCAGAGTCTACAGTGACAGCTCCCACAATGTGCATAGCGGCAAGGTTGACCAGGGCCTCTCTCTAGGGCCTAGCTGTCCATGGGTGGTGAGTGATCCCTCTAGGTAGGAAACAGCTGCTGAGGTCCACCAACCACTTCTTGGCTACAGTTCTGTAACTTCACTGGCCCAGTTTTCATGGAATCAGCACTTACAAAAGTAGCTCATGAAGCAGGTGTCCCAGCCATAGTCCCCCAGCACTCACTGTCCCACACCTACTAGACAGCATCCAGCTCCCAGCACCTGCCATACCATTGAGGCTTACCCTGGCCAGAGCCCACTCACCTGCATGACAGGGCAGGTGCCAGGGGGTTCATGGCCTCTCCCAACAGCAGCAGCAGCTCCCTGAAGTCAGGGGATAAAGGCCCCACTCCCACGCCTCAGCTGGGAAGATGGGCAGTGCCTCCCAGGGGACCCCAGTGACACTGAGCCCCACTGCCTATAGCATAGCCCTCCTGGACAGCAAGCCTTTATTATTTTCCACCCCTTCCTTGTCTCCCTTCTCTACTCCCTACTAATGTTTCCTGGGGTTGCCTCCCAAATAAACCACTCACCCTCACACCTTTGTTAGTATGACACAACTAAGACAATAGAGTACACTCTACTGTGTGCAGGGACCGAAACCAGAACTGAGGACAATGAGGTGTGGACTGCCCTTAGAGATTCAACTCTAAGGTGGAGCAAAGAAACCCATGGCCAGATAGCTAGTGTTGGCCAGTGTTCATTTATTCTCCTCTCCCCATACAGTGGCAACGTGGAGCGCTCGGAATCCGTGCATGACAACACCCTCATTCTGATGGTGCCGCTGATGCATGAAGTGGACACATCCATCACCGGGTGAGTAGCCTGGTCCTGTGTTGCCAAAACACAGGGGTGCCCTCCAGTGGAACATTGGGCTTCACTTGTATGAGTAGCCAGCCAAGAGCTGGGGACTCTGCACCTCCCCTTCCTCCCACCAAAGAAAAGAAGAATGAAGCTCTAGCCTCAGTGACTCTCACCCTCCTCTCTTTGTGTTTTCTCCTCTGTCCCAGCTACACACACAACTGGTAGATAACACAAGACGTTCGACAAGTTTAAGCCCCATAATTTCTTTGAACATTCTGTATACCTTTATATCATATACTCCCTACCTCTACCCTCACCCCTCCAGAATGCCATATGGTAGCAGGCAGTGTGGTTCCTGGGATTAAAATATCAGCCAGAAGCTTCTGGGCCAGAGGTTACAGCCAGATGTGTCCCATGCCCTAGCTCACAGGAGGGCTGCCTTTCTGATTAGCTTCACAGTAGGCGCTGGCTTTGCTTGTTTCTATTAACTCCTTCTGCAGAGCCAGCGGCTGCCCTGCCTGATGTTTGCAATGGTCTGGACCAGGCAGGTAACCATCATGACAGCTACACCATCTGCCGGGTGAAGCCCAGGGCCCCTCAGTGCTGCTGGCATTGTTGGAAAGTAGGGCTGTGGCTGTAGTCTGTGGGGACCCGAAACAACTAGAGTCAGTTTTCAGCCAAAGCCCAGGCCTGGAAAAATGAGAATTCAGTTCCTATTTCCAGCTTCAGAAAACAGAGCACACACCTCTTTGATAGTGGAAAAAAGATTTGCACAATTAGTTTAGATCAAGTGAGGACCCATTGAACCCTTGGCTCAAATGTAAGCTGAACCTTCTGGAAATTCACAGTTTCTCGTTTTTCACTTTTCAAGTACTTCTGGGTCCTGGCCTTGGCTAGAGTTGGAAAGTCAATCTCTTGCCGGGGGAGCCATCCCTGCACGGGCTTATGCTATGCTGGGAGCCAGGGGATGAATCTCTAGGCATTCCTGCTCCTGGGCTCTTGGCATTTTTAAATCATGTTTTTTAGACACAAGGCACTGATGGGATATACTTGCAAAATAGCATATTTTTGCCTCTGTCCAGAGCTCCGTTTTTAACTGTATAGCTTATTTACTTGTCTCATCAGAGGCATATGAGGATATGACCTATTTCAGGGTACAAGGAGAAAAGTACCCCCCACAAACTTAATCATGTTGTCAGGCCTTAGGAGACCCCATTGTGAGCTGTTAACAGCCCCTGATGAAGCCATCAATTAAACAAGTCAACCTCTAATCTTTTTAGGAATCTGAAACAGTTCGTAACATTTGTTTACGCGAGGAACGTACTACATTACAAAAATAATACACTTAAATTAAAAATAGATGTGTTGCTGTCCCTTCAAACTTAGTCCCCCAAATCAGATATTGTTGTGGTTTAGGTAAGTGAGTGGCTTCCAGCATGTAGAATTTATTATTTGTCTGGAAGTGTCAGTCTGAGCTTTGTTTCTTCCCGGGGATTTTTTATGCAAGTGATGTTGAAAGCATTGATACAAACTAAGCATGAATTCTTATCACCTCTTATGTAGCCTCTTTTTGAAACGTGGAGGAAACTGCTATCATCAAATGGACTCAGCTTCCAAATACCTGAATTCTAGTAATCTTTGTAGTCTGACAAATATTTTAAATGAATTTGTCACAGAATGGGGTTTTGTATCCCAAATGTATAATTCATTTACATTTATTTGTAAAAGCTTATCATATCTTTGATCCATAAAATGTTTTTCAGATGGCAAAACAGACAACACCATCTTTTATAATCCAGTTTTTTAAAAAAAAAAATCAAAGTTATCATAGTCTTCCTTCTCATTTTATAAGCGTAAGCCGGTACATATATCTTGGTGTAACTTATTAACATGACTTAAAAAGAAAAAGGCACTACTAGAAACGTCTGTTTAGAAAGCATAGCCTGGCTACATCCATTCATAGAAAAGTAACTGTTGCAGAAGGAAAGCCTTTGGTGGAAGGGAGACGCTGGATTCAACAGAGATAAACATCTGGGTTCTCAGGATGGCAGTGACCATGGATACTTGACTGTGGCTTGGGATGATAGTTCCCCTGCTTTCCTCTTCCAGAATCATATCTCCAACCTCCTTTGTGTATGGCGAGTCTGTGGACGCATCCAACTTCATTCAGCTGGATGACTTGGAGTGTCATTTTCAGCCCATCAACGTCACCCTTCAGGTACCTACCTCTGGAGATCGCCTCTGTCACTGGGGCATGACAAACAGGAATAGTCTCCTACTGAAAGACAAATGAAGGGCTAGGCTCTTTTCAGGGGGAACCCTTCCCAGTCTGGTTGGCTAGTACATAACTGTGTGTGGGGAGGGTGGATCTGTAACCACACGCAGAACGAATCCTTCCCTGTCTGCCACTCTGCTGTGCACACCGCTCTGCTTTTTAAGGCCCAGAAGGAGAACTACACAAGATGAACATCAGTTTCATCAGTTTTTCCCAAGATGGCCTCTGGGGTTGAGGCCTAGGCCTGCCCCTGATGGTCCCATGAGGACCCCTTTCTGTTCTTCCTCATTCTCATCTTCTGGGCAAAGGTGCCTCAGGATTTGCTGTGTCCCTTTCTTCCTGGGGTTTTCGTGCTGACGCGCACAGGAGCCCACGCTCCCCA